AAGAGATCACAATTACTTATAACCATCAGATGTGAAATCCGATAGCTTGGGTATATTACAAAGTTCGAGAAAAAAAAAATTAAACTTTGAACTTGATCAATGAAATAAATGCATCCACCTTAGAACCAATAGCATTTGCTGAAGAGTTCACCAAGTGTCCTTCACAACCCAACTCTATCAATGTTGTTTTCTCAAAATTAACTTTTAAACCCAATTCCATTCACAACACAAAAATTTGCTAATATTAACTACTTGGTTAAAATTTGCCCCACAGAAGATCAACCTGTCATGTGCCTATTGTAAATGAGAAAAAATTGCCCACTGTTTGAGACTTCAAACCCACCAAATTTGCCCTTTTTCCATATTCCTTAGCATTACTGAAGCCCTCTACCACTATAGTAAAACAAGAAAGGTGAGAGAGGAACTTCTTGCGTTAACACTCTAGTTTCTTTGAAAAAACCTTTAGGACTTTTATTAATTAGAACTAAAAAATGTGCGCTAGGAAAGCAACCCTCAATCTGTTTTCTCCATTTCGTACCAAAAAACATATATGACATAATTTCATGAAGAACACCCCACTCCACTCTATCATAAGCCTTATTTGTATCCAAGTTTATCATCACTCTAGGTTCACCACACAGTATTCTTAAGTGAATACATTCCTAAGCAATAATATCATTGATAAATCTATTATGAATAAAGGTTAATTATGGGCCAGAAATGACCAGCACATGTAGGGTAACCTTAAGTCTCTCAATTAGCAATAATCTTGTACCAAAAATAAATGGTCTCATTATATACTTTCCCTTTTATTTTATATTGACTAATGTAATTGTACTTTAAAGTAATTATTTGTCACAAAAATAATTTTTTTGAACTAAGATAGAGAGAGGGAGAATGAGATAGTAGAAGAGAGATGGAGATGAGAAATAAATGAGAGAAAGAGATAGAGAGAGATATGGCGCCCTCATGATATCCTTAGCAACTCTTCAGTTCATATCATCTAAACCAAGGTTAATTGCAGGTTCTAGGTCCACCTACACTACATAGATATCAATGCGAAAACTACCCAGACTATTGATATTTGACGAGGACCACGGGAATATTGGAGACAAAATAAAGGGCCTAACTGCTAGATATAAGGGTGGTGCACGCATCAATCAATTAAATAAGGGTGTGGTTTGTATAGAGCTGATATCTAAACAATCAAAGTAAAACGCACCTTCAAATAGTGTCAAGAAATGTGGTCTCAATACTGGAAATCTTTACGATAGCCTTAAAATATATTTTCATCACTAATTATTCGTGTTTTAAAAATCGTCGAGTCGGCACAGAATCGGTCGGATTCGAATTGGGAATCAGCCACCCTGTGTCGATTCTGCCTTAAAATATATTTCATCACTAATTATTAGTGTTTTAAAAATCGCCGAGTCAGTACGGAATTGGCCGGATTCCAATCGGGAATCAGCCATCCTGTGTCGATTCTTTCGTAAAATCGGGAATCGCTCGGTTCTTTCTCTAGAGAAGAATCAGTCGTTTCTTTTGTGAAACCGGGCTGATTCGAATCAGGAATCGACCATCCTGTGTCGATTCTTTTGTAAAACCGGGAATCGCCTGGTTCTTTCTTTAGAGAAGAATCAGTCGTTTCTCGGATGACATCATGACGATTCTGAACAGCGAATCATGTCATGACTCATCTGATTCTTCACTTCATGATGTCAGGACCCGCCCGATTTTTCTACATACAGTGTGCATGACCCGCTCGATTTATTTTTCTACGGTGTGGGTATTTTTGCCCTATTCTTTGTAAAACCGGGAATCGCCCGGGTCTTTCTTTAGAGAAGAATCAGTCGTTTCTTGGATGACGTCTTGACGATTCTGAATAGTGAATCACGTCAGGACTCATTCGGTTCTTCGCTTCATGATGTCAGGACCCGCCCGATTTTCCTACATACAGTGTGCATGACCCGCCCGATTTTTCTACAGTGTGGGTATTTTTGCCCGGATTCCGATTTTGCTATAGTGTGGGTATTTTTGCCCCATTTTTCTACATACAGTGTGCATGACCCGCCCGATTTTTCTATATTGTGGGTATTTTTGCCCAATTTTTCTACATACAGTGTGCATGACCCACCCAATTTTTTTCACGATTTTTCTATAGTGTGGGTATTTTTGTAAATTTCCGCCTGAAATTTCTCCCGGTTCTTCGCATTCTGTACAGTGGAATCACGTCATGACTCATCCGATTCTTCGCTTCATGATGTCAGGACCCGCCTGATTTTTCGACATACAGTGTGCATGACGCGCCCGATTTTCTACATACAGTGTGCATGACCCGCCCGATTTTTCTACAGTGTGGGTATTTTATCCCGATTTTTCTACATACAATGTGCATGACCCGCCCAGTTTTTCTACAATGTAGGTATTTTTGTAAATTTCCCCTGGTTGTTCGCATTCACTACAGTGAATCACGTCATGACTCATCCGGTTCTTCGCTTTTCTACATACAGTGTGCATGACCCACTTGATTTTTCTACAGTGTGGGTATTTTTTCCCAATTTCTACATACAGTCTTATTTTTCTACAGTGTGGGTATTTTTGCCCAATTTTTCTACATACAATGTTCATGACCCGCCCGATTTTCTACAGTGTGGGTATTTTTGTAAATTTCCCCCGGTTCTTCGCTTCATGACCCGCCCGATTTTGACGTCATGACTCATCCGGTTCTTCGCTTCATGATGTCAAGACCCGCCCGATTTTGACGTCATGACTCATTCGGATATTCACTTCATGATGTCAGGACCCTTCTTCGCTTCATGATGTCAAGACCCGCCTAATTTTGACGTCATGACTCATTCGGATATTCACTTCATGATGTCAAGACCCGCCCGATTTTTCTACAGTGTGCATGACCCGCCCGATTTTTCTACAGTGTGGATATTTTTGTAAATTTCGGGCTACAAGGCATTTTTGTAAATTCAAGGCTAAAACATGTTAAGAACCTGGAACCCACGGTCCCCACACCTCTCCACGTGACCCTCTTTGCTTCGCACGCGTTATCATCGTTAAGTACCGAGAAAGATTTATTCACTTACATTTTCTTCTACCTTTTCGATGTGAGATAATGTGAAAAGGTATTAGCTTAAAACATAAACATATTATAATATTTTGTTTGCACTTTTAATATAAAAAAGTTGCACATGGTATACCGGTTATCGCATACCTATATTGTATGGAGGATGTTAGTTCGAATCCTCTAATAGACGAATCGCTGTTTTTCACTTTCTTTTTTTTTGTCAAATTTTTTTCTTATCAAAAAAATAAAAGGTTTTGTGTAAAAAAAAAAAAATGAAAGGCTTTTTATCAATTTCGCTTTTGATCAAAAAAAATTTTATCAATAAAATAAAAAGTTTCTTATAAAAAAAAAATGAAAGGTTCTTATCAATTCTTTTTCTTGTCAAATTTCTTTTTCTTGTCAAAAAAATAAAAGGTTTTTGTCAAAAAAATAAAAAATTCTTGTCAAAAACCAAAAAAACGTTCTTATAAAAAAAATAACACAACAAGTAATTTTTGTCAAAAAAAAAAGTTCTTGCTAAAAAAAAAATTTAATATAACAAACATTTCTTGTAAAAAAAGTAAAAAGTTTTTATCAAGAAACACTAAAGCGAAAATTATTCTTTATTGTAGTCCATGTATGATTATATACTTCATCCATGCTAATTATATGATTTTTCTTTTGATGTAAATTTAACGATTAAAATAAGTTCATATAAAAAAAAAATCTCAATATTAGCATATTGATGAAAAAATAAAAATTAATAATGTAGCACCTTGATTTCTTATTGGATTCCTAAAAAACAACATTTATAATAAACTTTAATGATTTTTTAGATTTTTTTATAAAGCTTAATCGGACCGATTCGGCCGAGTCCTGATCCAGATCGCCGATTCACCAATTTGGATGGGTTTTTAAGGTCCCTGATCCGGGCCACCAAGCTGTTTTTTAAACCACTGCTAATTATAAAATTTAAAGCTTTAAAAATAGTGTAGATCAAACTGATCTATAAACACTTGAAAATTGATGATCCAAAAATACATTTCAAGATACACTATTTCCAAAACTTGAAATCCATTTTTTCCTATGCCCATGCAACTTGATGTTGAGATGATATTTGGGCATCAAAACAACCTCTTCTTATGAAATTTGAGGCGCACCCTAATTTGATTGTTTAAAGCCTTACACTAATATAAACTTTTCTCATTATATAAGGCCCTATTTCTTAGAGAGTACAAGGTAGAGACCCTAAGGGACCTTATCTAGGATACATGCTTAGTATACCTAACTTTATTATGACGAGAAAATGAAAGGTGAATTAGGAGAGAGATGATAAATAAAATCTACACAGATTTTTGGAACGAGGAAAATCGAAATACCGCACAAAACATGAACCTTTTATATTGCTCAACATATTTTACAGTGGAAAAGATCTTAAGAGAGATCATCTCTTAAATTATGAATTGATGGATTTATTTAGGAACATTTGGACACAATTTCCAAAAGCAAGTATTTTAGAAGGCCTCAGATTTAGATATTAACGAAAGAGAACAACTGCTATAGGTGCTTAAAAAGAACAAGTGATGCTAAATGTTCTTCAACACGAGGCACATGCATTGAACCAGAAAGGTTCCCCCCAACCCCACCCCTCCAGATTAAAAAAAAAAAAAACCCTTGTGGCTCTCTCTCACTCTGCCTGAGGGACGATATCTGTTATGGCCCTTTTCAGCTGAAATTGAACGAATTATTGGCAACTTTCTCCACCCATCATCCAAAAAATATCTATGAACTCAGATTACGAGTATACTGTAATCTTCATGACCACAAGGGACATTTGTTGATCATGCATCAGTGTGTGCCTTCTGATTGTGTGTGTCTGTGATTGTGTGCGTCTGTGTTTGAGAGAGAGAGTGTGTGCGTGTTTGTGAGAGAGAGAGAGAGAAACTGCAAAGGAAAGAGAGTGGGATCCACTGTCAAAGTCATGACTAGACCCATTCTGTTCATCAGCATCCATCCAATTAACTGGACTGCGATGACCCCTCAGGACTACATATAAGCCTGGTCATGGGGAATGCAGTGTGCTTTCCCAGCCCATGCACAAACCCTTGAATTCATTTCTATATACATGGCACATGTTTTGTGGATTGATATTTTGAAAGAGGTTTTTCATCCTGTCTTTCTCAAAGCTTTTGTGTTGGGTATTTTGACGTAGACGACTATGAAGTATGAACCAAATCCATTCAGTATCTCTGTCTTCTTCCTTCGTAACTATCGGAGATAGAAAACCAGCATTACAGTAAGAAGAATTAAGTGCTCAAAACATGTGTTGAAAGCCGCCAAAGATAGATCATTCAATGCAGCAAGAAGAGAGCTTTCTCCCTTATTGAACATCACCACCCCTCTTTCAACATTCTAGCAATTTCAAGAATGTACTTCCCTTCTTTGTATTTCTCACTGAGCACGGTAGCCTTTTCCTGTGTCAAACAAATTAATAAACAGTGAAAAGGTTAATCCACTAAGAAACCAATCAAACTAATGCTTCTATGGAGGCATTTCATCCCTGCTTATCTTCTATGACAGCCCAGAACTTGACGGCTTACAGAAGATTCAAAAAAGCAGGAAGATACTATAACAGTTGGAAGTAACAAGATATAAATAACATATTTAGCCTTATGGCTGTTTCCTGTTAAAAAGTTTTGATGACGAAGTGTTTTTATTTTTCTCAATTGACACTATTAGATATTTTAACTCTAGTTTCTTTTAATGTATAATAGCTTGTTATTGTTTGCTCAGTTCAGGAAATATCACAATGCACCTCTATCAAGAACTAACATCCTTTGTGCACAAAGACAGTTGTAAACTAATACTTGTGAATTCATTAAACTAGTTCATGATACACCCGAATAGAGAAATAGAAATCGAGAAATAGAAATCAATTCCACAACTCAAAAGACCATCACTAAATCACTAGATCAAACACCTATTATTCAGTTCCAGTCAGAAATCAAAGGCGTTCATGGACCACCTTCTCTACACCGCCACTGGTATGTAGGGTTTGAAAATAGTACCAAAAATGTCTGAGAGGTGCTGGGGGACAAAAGAACCAATAGGCAACCCTCGAGCTTCTAGCCTTTTGCAATTTTTTTTCTCTCCAAGGATGAGATTTCAGAAGAAGCACCCTATAGCAATCATTTAGGGCCATCTTCAAAGGAAAAAATATACAATACTTAATGGTTTGCACATGGGAGATGCATAAAAAATATAGTTTGCATATTAGAGTTGAGGCCTTTAGAAAAAGAACAAGTTTATATAAAGTTGCAACCTTAAAATGTAGAATTACATATGTACCTCGAAAATCCACCAAAAAGGTTGTTTTAATGTTAAAAAACCCTCTAATTGATCATCTCAACATCGAGATGTATGAATATGGAAAAAAAAAAAGATTTTGAGTCCCAGAAATAGTGCATCTTGCAACACATTATCTAGACAGTCCATTATCAAGATTTCATATGTTTGTAGATCTACTTGATTTTAACCATTTTTGGAGTTTAAAATTTTATAATTAGATGTGAAAATAGATTTTGAGATAATCCTAAGAACTTTTTACACCGAAATTACATGTTATGATAAAATTTGGAGGTGCGGCTTAATTGGATTCTTTAAGGTTGCAACCTTATAGAAACCACACACTTAGAAAAATGAATCGAGGAATCTATTATATCATGGGCCTTACTAGGGTATGTGATTAGCATGTGTTTATGACCTCAATCATGTGTCGACAGCTTACTTAGAAATTGCCAAATTGCTGGAAAAGAGAGCACTTGTGCATCAATCAAGGCAAAAGTCCAAGGACTCTTATCGAGCCTTTGAAGTTATTCAAATTCATACTAAAGCTCCCTGATGGGGAAGGTGACTTATTTAATGTTATGACATGGCCAAGAGTTTGACTACCCAACATAAGCTCGTGGTTATGGACGTTTGCATGAAGACATGGAAGAGAAGGGGTGAAATTAATGAGTGTCCATGAACTACATGGTGGAATTTAAAAAATAATAAAATAGATTTATTTAAAGATAAATTAGTTAAAGAAGAAAAATCGAACTCTGAACATGAAGTCAATGTTATGTGGAATGAGATGGTTGATTGTATTCAGAAAGTGGCAAAAGAAATTTTAAAAGAATCTAGAGGGAAAAGAAATTTCGATAAAAAAAATTGGTGGATGAGCGATGAGGTTCGAAAGGTCATTAACGAAAAACGATCATGTTATAAAACTTGGCAATGTAATAGGAATGATCAAAACTTAGAAGTTTTATAAGTATTACATTGCCAAGATGTCTTCAAATTAGCAAAAATGCAAGGGAAAAAGTATAGATATTTAAACTATATTAAATTCATTAAGAGTGAAGATCAAAGGGTCTTGATGAAAGATGAAAAAGTCAACCAAAGGTGGAGAGTTTATTTTCAAAAATTATTAAATGTCGAACACAATGGGAACAAAACAATAGAAGGAACCATTGGCATAAATGAGGGCGATGTCATACATACATTCGTAAGATTAGAATATCTGAAGTGAAAGAAGCTTTGAAGAGGAGGAAAATAGGAAAGGCTCTCTAGGACCAGATGGTAGGCCAATAGAGGATTGGAAGTTCATGGGGGAGATTGACACTCACTGGCTAACCAAGTTGTTCAACAAGGTGTTAAGAACAATGAAAATGCCAAACAAATAGAGGAAAAGTATTGTGGTATCTACTTACAATAACAAAGGAGACATACAAAAACTGTATGAACTATTAAAGGGTCAAACTTATGAGCTACACTAACACTATTAAGATGTGAGAGATAGTGATTGAGCAACGACTAAGGCACGAAATGAGTGTATCAAAAAAACAATTTGGTCTTATGCCATGGAGGTCAACAATAGAGGTTATTTTCCTACTTAGACAACTGATTGAGAAGTTTTGGGGGAACGAAAAAGACTTCCACATGGTCTTTATTGATCTAGCGAAAGCTTATGATAGACTACCTAGAGATTTGATTTGGTGGGTGTTGGAAAAGAAAGGAGTCTCAAGATACTACATCAACTTGGTGAGAGATATGTATGAGGGAGCGCTAAGTAGTGTACGAACAACTAGTGGAGAGACGAGTGAATTTTCAGTGACAATAGGTCTACATCAGGGGTCAGCATTGAACCCGTACTTCTTTGTCTTAGTAATGGACGACCTAACTAGACACCTACAAGATGACGTACCGTGGTGCATGTTGCTCGCAAATGAAATAATTTTGATCGATGAGATCCAAAACAACGTCAACACAAAGTCAGAACATTGGAGGGACGCTCTAGAATCTAAAGGTTTTAAAATTAACAGGACTAAAACAGAGTATATGAAATGCAAGTTTAGTAATAATAGGAGTAAAGACGAGGAAGTAGTTAAGATTGACGGTCAAAAAAATATAAAAAGAGAGCGCACTTGCGATATCTAGGATAATGGAGAGATTGATGAAGATGTTGCACATAGAATTAGAGCTAAGTGGGTGAAATGGAGATATGCAACCGAAATTTTGTGTGATTACTGTATACAAATGAACCTGAAGAGCAAGTTCTATAGGACAGCTATGAGATCAACTTTACTCTATGGGGTGGAATGTTGGACAGTCAAGAAACAACATACCCATAGAATAAGTGTACCTGAGATGAGGATATTGAGATAGATGAGTGAAAAGACAAGAAGAGATAGAATTCATAATGAATACATTCATGAGAATTTAAATGTGGCACCAATAGGTGATAAGATGAGAGAAACTAGACTTAGGTGGGCTTGCCATGTATAGCGCAGACCCAGTACATCACCTGTTAGGAGGTGTGACTTAGTTCAAGTAGAAGGCTCAAAAAAGGCAAGAGGTGGTAGGCCCAAAAGGCCTTGCATACCAAGTGATCCTTGGATATTGACAGATTAATAAACTTACAAACATATCAATAATGACAATTCATCGAGCTTCGCTCGCTCTCTCTCTCCCCCTCCCTCCCTATCTCCCCGCAGAGCCATCTTAATTTCACCACCCTTAAGGCTTTGCCACCTCCATAATGAAGACAGATCAGTGAATGGAAGGGAACCACGTACCGATCAAGCCTATGACATGAGAGTCAAGAGGCATAATGATGGGCATTAAAGAAGAAAATATATCAATAAATGGGCCAAAAATAGAAAGAAAAGGTTAAAAAGAGCACTTGGAGACTTAGTGCCTAAACTACAGCACTTATTTGTGAGCAAGAAGTACACAATTAAATTAGTCCACATGTATATTATTCAATTAATTATACTTTTTTATGTAGAAAAAACAGGCCGGAAAAAAGTAAAGTAACAAGCCAAGGAGCCCTCCAAGAGTTTGCTTGGTGGTTTTGGTAATCTAGGAAAAGAGGTAAAGAAGAGAACCCCAGCATGAAAACTGTGTCCTATACACAAAGCAAGGCGGAGAAGAAAACGATCAAAGTTATTTTTTCTTATTTTTTTGATAATGAAGTGAAAGATCAATGTTGACGGCTGTAAAACTCCAAATAAAGCTTAAGCCGCAAATGATAAATCTGAGTGCTTTTTAGTTTGGTTCAGGATAGATCTGAGTATGAACTATATTTCCATGTTTGGGAATTGCTACTATGTTTTCTAAGAACTTCTTGGTTACATGGTAATATGCATGATAACTTGCTAGGTTTCTTTCTGCATGTTTTACAGGAACTCAAGCAAAGTAAATAGCAAAAACTTTTCACTACAGAATGATGAAAATTAAGAAATATGAAATTACATGGTTTACAGCTGCATTGTTTCAGTGACATAGATAAAACATATATAAGTATTAGGAGGAATTTGGTCAAGAATTTTTTATGGGACATCATCGATCTCCACAAATAAAATTTGACATGGTTTACAAATGTGTCTGTTACATTTGCATATATAAATATCTGGAGAAGGGAAGTGGTAATATAAATTGATTTAAGAATGACGCTAAGGATAAGTGCTAATGTGATAATGAGTATCTTTGTTCTGTAGTGGCTTGTGTTTGATGGTAACATATGCTAATGTAAGAAAGTCTCCTATTTTTAGAAGAGCACAAAACTATGTCTAAGTGAAAACTCACATATCTCCAACCCAGTATTTGTTGGCAGCAACTACAGTATATGTCATTTACTGTATGCCTTCCAGTAATTAGTTCCCGGTCTTCTTCAGGACCAAGAGAGACATTCACCCTGACATATAAACGGAACAAGTCAAATCAACTAAGACTATTGATGATAAAATTACACTATTAACAATTTAGTAATTAATCAAATCGAATGAATTAAACACAAGCTATTAGTTCCAAATCCCCAGAAAAAAAGGCAGCAAGAGGCAAATATATCATCTTTACAACATGAAGGTAAAGAAAAAAAATCCACTGAACGAAATGCCAAAATGACGTCCTCAAAAGCCAATTGCTTCTAAGAAACTACTATAGTTGAATGTTTAAACACTATGGAATATGTTAATGAGTAGTTTAAGAATGATGATGACATGTAGAAGCACAGCCTACCTTTTCATATATTGAATGTAAATTAATGTAGAAAAATTAATATCCATTAAAAGGAAGTTGATTACCCTACGACTAACTAAATTATAAGCATCTTCATAAGTCTGATGAGGAAAACAATTTGGATGTCTGGTTAGTTTTTCAAAAGCAGTATGAAGTATAGAGGTGTTGACCAGCTTACAGGATCCCAAACTCCTTATGCCGCCATCTTGAATCAAATTACAAGGGCCAGAACAAGAAAGAAATGGTTTTAATATTCCTTCTTAGACAGCTGATCCTACTCTTGAGTTGCCTCTCATTCTAATGAGAACCTTCCTGATAAATAAAATATGTAACAGATGGATTCTGATTAGAACTCCCACCAGCAGAACTGACCCAAGTTCCCCAGAGGGTTTACAAAGAAGCCAAGACACATGGAATGAACCCGAGTTATTCCTCTCTCCAAACCCGAGCATTCACCTTTACTTAAACTCACTAAAAGAAACAAAATGGATTAATCATTCTCAATTTCTTTTCTGTGAAAATATCTAAGCCAATCCTTGTTGGCTGTCATATCAAGGAGTGAGAAAAGGAGCCAATTGTCCTAAGTTCAAAAGCCCTCAAAGAGTAGCATGAGAAAACCACCAATTCATCCTTCCAAATTAGAGAGAGAATTTCATGAAAAATGCATGCAACTCACTGGCTCTGTGGAGCCTCTCGTAGCTCAAGGAGAGCACATGAAATTATAATTCTAGAAGCTTCTTTCAGTATTGGAAATTATAACTCAAGGAGGGAAGCTTCTATAATGTTGGCAGTTGTAGGTAGAGAAAATACCCTGCTGGCTCATTGCAGCTGCTCCTCAACATCATTGAGGGAAGCGTCTTAACAGGTTGAGGCTCACCTCAATGAAGTAGACTTGCGCCCAACAAAATCTCCTGGTCAATATCGCAATCCCAAGGTAACATTTGCCACAGTCCATGCAGATTTCTCCACAACCAGATGGACCCATGAAAGTACTAATTGTCCTACAACACAAAATGGACCCAAGTAATATTTTGCACATCTATCAGGCTAACTGATTTTCTGAAAGAGAATGGTCAAGTAATAAATGGATTATGACCATTTATTGCTGAAACACCTGCATGAGCCATGCCAATGCCCCATAAAAGTACGAAATCCATGTAGACACATTGATCATGTTGCCTATCAAGCTGATCTTTGTTCCTGTTGCCTATCAAGTTGATCTTGTTGACGGCTCATCTCTTTTGACATGTGGCCCTGATCTGACACAAGCTATTTCCATGAGTGGATTTATGCCTTCTTGCTGCCATTAATGCCCTCTATTAGCATTCTCGCCACATTTTCACTGTGGTTGAACACCATACAACTCAATTTATTCTCATAGGGACAGGAGTTTTATACCGCCTAGTTTATACTCGTATGATTAGGAGTATCATGCCATCTAGTTTGTACTCATAGGGTTAGGAGTACTACCTTATGAATTTATGGCTAGAAGCCTCCTGCAGATAAGGGGTTCTTGCACCTTCTCATAAGGCCATTCCCATTTCAACTTCCTTCTTTTGTGGTTTACGCTTAAGGTCACTTGTCTTAAGGAATCTTTTAGTACAAATACATCAAAGACACCAAGTCTCAGACAGTAGTCAGCTTGCACAGAGCTGTATCAGATGTGTTGTCTTTTGTTCAGTCGTCGACTTGTGGGAACACCTAGAGCTTCCCTCAGTTGTCTCAAAAATGGTAAAGTTCTTTGGATAATCAGCCTCTTGGTGTACTCAAAGGCCAATATGAGAGGAGATCAAAGTGACAGATCAGATTGTATCCAAGGCATTAATCTATGAGGAATTCCATGGTCTTTTTCAGTTTAGTATTGGTTCAAGAATGGAAAGCCATGGCATGTCAGTTGTTACCAAATAACCATATTCACTTCTCAACAGAGAGATAAAGGCATGTCAGTTGTTACCAAATAACCATATCCACTTCTTAACATGGAGATAAAGGCTGTTTGGTTTGGGAGGATCTACAAACAGAGGTTGCAGATTGCAGTTAAGAAAACTAGGAAGGAGACCAACAATTCAGAATGGAATCAAGGAGGAGGGTGAACTTTCTATTCGGTACATTACTCGGTGATTTTGCGAGGCGGGTATTCCTTTCAATGCTGCTTTCCTAAGCAGCTTCTACACCTTAGTGAAGGCAATTGGCCAATTTGGACCTGGATTGAAGCTCCCAACCCCATACAAGCTTTCAGAACCTTTTTTGAGAAAACAGGTTGATATCACAAGGGAGATTGTGAACACACATAAGGACGCATGAGCTCAGTATATGACTTGGAGTCACAGGAAGAGGAGTCAAATGAATTTGTTGGTGAATTCTCCTTTAGGGACATTTTTTTTAGATCTATTGGTGCCTCTGACGATAGCCATGATACCACAGGAGCAGCGTGTTACTCAAGCAATCACAGACAATGCTGCTCCAAATGTAGCTGCTTCTAATTTGTTGCTCCTGAGCTCCCCTGTATCATTTGGACACCATGTGCATGCCACTGCATAGACCTCATGCTTGAGGCTATTGGCAGTATGATCGAGATTGCAAGCACAATTTGGAAGGCTAAGTCAATTGCAGCCTTCATCTATAGCTGCACCCTCACCCTCAGCATGATGCACAGGTTTATAAATGGGAGGAGAAAGTGAAGCTGGGGGTCACGAGATTTGCTACATGGTTCTTGTGTTTGGAGAGCATATATGCTAGGAGAGTCCAGTTGCAGCATATGTTTACTTTTGATGATTAGAGAGCATGCAAGTAGTCTAAGCATCAAAAAGGGAAGAAGGCACGAGATATCATCCCATATAAGAATTTTTGGCGAGGGGTCAATGACGTCTTAAAAGTATTTTGTCCTCTAGTCAGACTCTTGAGCATGGTTGAAAATGTCAAGCCCTCCATGGGCTTCATATATGAGGAAGTGGAAAGTTGCAAGAGAGCTGAAAATTTGGATAATGATGAGAGCCTCGATGAGACAATTTGGCAAATTATTGACGAGCCGTGGGATAGGCAGCTGACAACTGCATGCAGCTGGTTATTATTTGAATACCAGTTTTTTTTTATGTTGATATACACATAAATGACACAATTATGGGTGGACTTAATTGTTGTTTGATATGCTCGTCCCTCGAATCAGGAAACCCAGGACCTTATATGGGCTAAGGAAATAATAAATCACAAGTGCTCATTGAAGTCGTAATGCAATGCCATAGCGACAAGGCAAAGGACCAAAGTTGATCCAAGGTAATATACGTAATCCAAGTTCAATTTCAGGTTTCATGTTTGTTGTTTGATTTTGAATTTCATATGTTATCGTAATTCATAATCAATTTATAATTAACTATTGATATCTTTATCACGCTTAGATTGCAGCCATTAGTGGAACCAGCATGAGTGTAGTGCTCCAAACTTACAAAAGATGACCATTCGAATCTTGAGCCTAACCACTACCACATCTAGTCATAAGCGGAACTGGAGTACCTTTGAAATGGTATGTTACTTTAGTTTAGTAACTTCAGTGAATTACTTTAGTTTAGTAACTTCAGTGAATATAAATTTGTTACTTTAAACAACTAAATCATTAGTTTACTAATTAGAATTAGGAATTACTAATTACTATATAATATTAGTTATTTTCATTTTATGTGTGTGTATTTTCATATGGGTTCAAACAAAGAAAAGAAACAAGCTTGAATCAAATAGGCCAAATGACTTAATTTATGTGAAGTTCAATCGATTTTTTAAGGATAGATTTGTTTTTGAATATGTTGAAGGATACATTTGTTAAGCACAAAAAAAGAGACCCCTTTAGAATGAGGGACATGGAGAATGCCATGGAGTGGTTGGTTGGAGAAGATGAAGTCAAGGGGCATGAGGGATTAACATGGGATATGGTTATGGAGGCCCCATGTACAACAGCCGACCCTCCTAGGTCCACTAGATCATCTTCACAGAGGAGGAGGGAGCGGAGGAAGAGGAGGCAGATTCAGAAGAAACATGGAGGACGAGGGTTATGTTGAGGAGGGAGATGATTCTGATGATGATGGACTCGACTCTGATGCATATGATGAGGTTGTGATGACTAAACACAAGTGAGTCTTTAAGTCTCTTTCATTTATATACTTTCCTCCAATTATGTGTATGGACTGGGGTAGTATGGACTATGAAGTATGTTCTATGGATTATGGGCTATGGATTATAGTTAGTGATTTGTGAATTGTGACTATATTACTATTACATTTTCTTTGTGGTTGCATTAGAACTAGTAGTCTAGTCTAGTACTTTGGATTGGAATGTTGAATTATATTTGCTTAATATCTTATTGTCTAATTGTCATATACTTTGGTTTGACTTCGGATTTACTGAACATAAAAAATGTATAAAAAAATGTCCGGATATGCATTTTATACACAATTTGGCCTCACACCCCCTGCCCTTGTTCTTCAACCTGGATAGCCCAGAAATCTTGCTGCCCACCTAGGCGCCGCACGGCGTTCTTTGGAGCACTGGGCTCACATATCGAGAAGTGTATTCATTCAATTCACAAATAATACATTTAAGAAATATTTGCAAAGGAAGCTTAGTGCATTTATTGTTAGGACCTTCACAAATGATCCATTGCCATACAGTTTATGCTCATGTAAGTAG